CAAGGTGACGACTGCGTACTTTCTTTGTTTATCCACACGACTCTTAGATTTGTGTGCAGCTATTAATCCCGCACTTGCCAAAGCCCCACACAGCTTAATTCCTCTTGATTTGCAGCCCTACAAAATTTAAGACAGCTTGTTTAATTTATCTGTGATGAAAAAATGGAGAGTTTCAGAATAGATGGTTGCAGATCTTCATAAACATAAATCCTATCTATAGTAATAGTACGTTCATGTCTTCACTTACATGGGGTCCATGCAGAAAATAAATTGATCATATGAAAGTAGCATTTGATTAGCATTTTTGTCTAAAAAGATTATATATAAGGCAACAAACAATGGCATAATGTAATAATACAAGTCCTCGTACTTACAGCAATGATCGTCTCCGTGTCCTTTTGGTTCATCTGCAACCTTACCACCTGAGAAGATCTTGGTGACCTTGAATCCTTGAATTTCAGATTTGTTAGTCTAAGTGAATTCACCGAGTAACCAAGCATGTCAATCCCACGCTCCCACAAACCCTTCTTAGCCTTCTTATTAGGAACAAGATCCTCAATTCTCGAAGTAATCTCCCCTTCATTTGCTATTTCCTTCTGCAGAGCACCTCTCTCCTCTTCACTCACCAGCACCACCAGTTCCTGCAGCAAAGACACAGCCGTGGTTCGGTCACACGCCGAGGCATGAAGCCTAAGAACCAGTACCCACTTTGCGTTAGGGAGGGCATAGGTGGTAGCAAAAAACATATCTTGAATCTCATTAATGGATGATGGTGCCTTGTTATGGTTATACCATGAGTTTTGGTTAAGTTCATGCTCAAGGACCAGATGGAGGGGTGAGAGAGATTGGTTTTTTGGGTTCAATGGATTTTCGAGGATTTTGAAAGTCGACGAGAGGTTGAATGCTTTCAGTTTAATGAAAGGAGTGGGAGACGTAATGAAGGAAAATGTGTTCGTGTTGCTGCCAGAATGGAGTCTTGACCTAAGGATTGGATGAGAATTTTGGAGTTTGTGGAGAGCATTCTCTAGAACCGAGTTTCGAGGGAGCTTAGATGTGAGGATGGCCAAGACGGCTATGCCAGTGCCACCAGGCACCGCTCGGCACCAGCTGTGCTCGGTGCCTCCCACTGCTCGGGCCTTGGGCTCAGCTGTTTCTGGACTGATCAACGTCTGGCAAGACATGTAAATAATGTAGTAGAAGAAGAACAGTAGAAATATTTGCAGCCTTTGGTATACAAACCTGGCCGGGCAAGGTATGATATGATGTGGTTCCAGTAGGAATTTATATAGAGGAAGCGATCGAGCACTTACGTTACATCAACTTTTAGATTATTTTAGTTTTTTTTTTTATCAAAATAAATATAAACATTAATTTAGTTTTTTTCATATAAAAATAATAATTAAAAGTACATGCATGGCGATGCAAAACGGTGTGCAGCTAGTCGTTCGGTTTCAAAAGTAACTAGCTATATTATTTTAATATTCAGCTCAAAGATCACCCACGCAAGTCTGGTAAATAATAATTAATGCTTGCGTTTTTGTTGTTTCATTTTTATTTTATCATATATTTTTCCTAATAAAGTTGAAAGTATTCTCTGATATTTTGATTATGTATCACGAATAATTGTTGTTTGTTTTATATTTTAAAATTATTTAAAAAAAATTAAATTTTTTTTATTTTTTTATTTATTTCAAACTAATATATTTTTAATGTTTTAAAATCATTTTAATTTATTAATGTTAAAAATAATTTTTAAAAAATAAAAAAAATATTT